ACCTTCACCACACATGGTAATTACCACCTTCACCACACATGGTAATTACCACACTTCACCACACACCTGGTAATTACCACCTTCACCACACATGGTAATTACCACCTTCACCACACATGGTAATTACCACCTTCACCACACATGGTAATTACCACCTTCACCACACATGGTAATTACCACCTTCACCACACATGGTAGTTACCACCTTCACCACACATGGTAATTACCACCTTCAGGACTTTAGGCTCCGCAGTCGTACTTCTCTGAATATTTTCACATAGTTCACTTTGCTCCACGAGAATGTCAGTTCCTTGAAACCACTTGTGAACATTCACTACTGTATAACTAGCACACTTGTGAACATTCACTACTGTATAACTAGTTCACTTGTGAACATTCACTACTGTATAACTAGCACACTTGTGAACATTCACTACTGTATCACTAGCTCACTTGTGAACATTCACTACTGTATCACTAGCTCACTTGTGAACATTCACTACTGTATAACTAGCTCACTTGTGAACATTCACTACTGTATAACTAGCACACTTTTGAACATTCACTACTGTATAACTAGCTCACTTGTGAACATTCACTACTGTATAACTAGCACACTTTTGAACATTCACTACTGTATAACTAGCTCACTTGTGAACATTCACTACTGTATAACTAGCTCACTTGTGAACATTCACTACTGTATAACTAGTTCATTTGTGAACATTCACTACTGTATAACTAGCACACTTGTGAACATTCACTACTGTATAACTAGCTCACTTGTGAACATTCACTACTGTATAACTAGCACACTTTTGAACATTCACTACTGTATAACTAGCTCACTTGTGAACATTCACTACTGTATAACTAGCACACTTTTGAACATTCACTACTGTATAACTAGCTCACTTGTGAACATTCACTACTGTATAACTAGCTCACTTGTGAACATTCACTACTGTATAACTAGTTCATTTGTGAACATTCACTACTGTATAACTAGCACACTTGTGAACATTCACTACTGTATAACTAGCTCACTTGTGAACATTCACTACTGTATAACTAGCACACTTTTGAACATTCACTACTGTATAACTAGTTCATTTGTGAACATTCACTACTGTATAACTAGCTCACTTGTGAACATTCACTACTGTATAACTAGCTCACTTGTGAACATTCACTACTGTATAACTAGTTCACTTGTGAACAATCACTACTGTATAACTAGTTCACTTGTGAACATTCACTACTGTATAACTAGTTCACTTGTGAACAATCACTACTGTATAACTAGCACACTTGTGAACATTCACTACTGTATAACTAGTTCACTTGTGAACATTCACTACTGTATAACTAGTTCACTTGTGAACATTCACTACTGTATAACTAGTTCACTTGTGAACATTCACTACTGTATAACTAGTTCACTTGTGAACATTCACTACTGTATAACTAGCACACTTGTGAACATTCACTACTGTATAACTAGTTCACTTGTGAACATTCACTACTGTATAACTAGCACACTTGTGAACATTCACTACTGTATAACTAGCCACATTGTGAACATTCACTACTGTATAACTAGTTCACTTGTGAACATTCACTACTGTATAACTAGCACACTTGTGAACATTCACTACTGTATAACTAGCACACTTGTAAACATTCACTACTGTATAACTAGCTCACTCATAACTCCTCCAAACTGGAGTCTCTTCTACTCATTTTAGTCATTACTGGAACGACCAGTACCCCTCCATCCCTTCACCCTTCCTGGAACGACCAGTACCCCTCCATCCCTTCACCCTTCCTGGAACGACCAGTACCCCTCCATCCCTTCACTCTTCCTGGAACGACCAGTACCCCTCCATCCCTTCACCCTTCCTGGAACGACCAGTACCCCATCCATCCTTTCACCCTTCCTGGAACGACCAGTACCCCTCCGTCCTTTCACCCTTCCTGGAACGACCAATACCCCTCCATCCCTTCACCCTTCCTGGAATGACCACTACCCCTCCATCCTTTCACCCTTCCTGGAACGACCAGTACCCCTCCGTCCTTTCACCCTTCCTGGAACGACCAGTACCCCTCCATCCCTTCACCCTTCCTGGAACGACCAGTACCCCTCCATCCTTTCACCCTTCCTGGAACGACCAGTACCCCTCCGTCCTTTCACCCTTCCTGGAACGACCAGTTCCTCTCCTCCCTTCACCCTTCCTGGAACGACCAGTACCCCTCCATCCTTTCACCCTTCCTGGAACGACCAGTACCCCTCCATCCTTTCACCCTTCCTGGAACGACCAGTACCCCTCCATTTTTTCACCCTTCCTGGAACGGCCAGTACCACTCCATCCTTTCACCCTTCCTGGAACGACCGGTACCCCTCCATCCTTTCACCCTTCCTGGAACGACCAGTACCCCTCCATCCTTTCACCCTTCCTGGAACGACCAGTACCCCTCCATCTTTTCACCCTTCCTGGAACGACCAGTACCCCTCCATCCTTTCACCCTTCCTGGAACGGCCAGTACCCCTCCATCCTTTCACCCTTCCTGGAACGGCCAGTACCCCTCCATCCTTTCACCCTTCCTGGAACGACCAGTACCCCTCCATCCTTTCACCCTTCCTGGAACGACCAGTACCCCTCCGTCCTTTCACCCTTCCTGGAACGACCAGTACCCCTCCATCCTTTCACCCTTCCTGGAACGACCAGTACCCCTCCATCCTTTCACCCTTCCTGGAACGACCAGTACCCCTCCATCCTTTCACCCTTCCTGGAACGACCAGTACCCCTCCATCCTTTCACCCTTCCTGGAACGACCAGTACCCCTCCGTCCTTTCACCCTTCCTGGAACGACCAGTACCCCTCCGTCCTTTCACCCTTCCTGGAACGACCAGTACCCCTCCATCCCTTCACCCTTCCTGGAACGACCAGTTCCCCTCCGTCCATCCTTTCACAATAGATTTATACATAAAAGTAATCTAATTTATTTCGACCTTTTCACGTCAAAACACGTCAACAAACCTTACTCTGCTTTTGGAACTGCACATTTCATACCCCATCACTGCCTTTTTTGTTTCTATGTTCCTATCGTTATCACACATTCCTAAACACAAAGTTTCCACTGCCTCTAGACTCTTCTCAATGCTGTATCAAAGAAACCACGCAACACTTTCATAAATGAATTGATACCACAACACTCTGGTATAAACTCAGTGTTTCTTTCCTTAATAAATTTCTCTCTCAAATTAAAACCAGAGTTAAATACTAGTCATATTTAAATACTATATGTAGGCAGATGAGCCACGACTGTCAGACTACCATTGACATACCTGGAAAATATACTAAATACACACCCATCTGAAATGCCAAAAATTATATGATATGGACAATTAAATTTAATTAAATTGTATCACTTTTCTGAGTCAAGCTGCAGCCATGACTACGAGACCAGAGAATGGTATCAACATTCTATATTCAATAATAATGGTAACAATAGTGGTAATATTTATTATATATCCACATGACAGCAACACAGTAACTGCTTCACTTACCACTGCTAACATTATCTCCACTTGCAAAAGCACCACTATTACCACCACCACTACAAACATCACTATCACCACCACTATTTCCATCACCAACAATAGCACCAAGATCTCCACAAATTCACCTCTACCACCAACAACAATAATAACACCATGACTCACCATATCGTAATGACACGATTGCAAACAAACCATATCACGGGTGGGGTTAGAACCCGCGATCACAGAGTCATAAAGCTCCAGACCGACGCGGTAGCCCAGTGGCTAGCGCGTCGTTCTGGAGTTTTATGATTCTCTGATCCCGGGTTCTATCTCCGTCCGTGACATGGTCAATAATAACACCACTACAACCACAATCACCATTAGTTTCAGCACCATAAGCACCACATCACCAACTCTACTATCATCATGCAAGAGTACCAACTAAGAAGTCTTATAATAAGATATAATGTTAAACTCTTCTCAGAAAATAAATAATTGAGTTTTCCTTGAAATAGAGAAGTAAACTTTGGTTGCAGTCAGCAGACAAACGTTATACATATACACGGGGGTTACATTGTTTATTTCTGTCTTTTAGTATGACGTATATATATACACAGAAAATGTCTTTACATCCCATTTTATTCTTCCTCTGTTATACATGTTCATGCAACATGTTCATGCAACATGTTCATGCAAAATGTTCATGCAACATGTTCATGCAACATGTTCATGCAACATGTTCATGCAACATGTTCATGCAACATGTTCATGCAACATGTTCATGCAACATGTTCATGCAACATGTTCATGCAACATGTTCATGCAACATGTTATCAATGTCACAACATGTTCATGCAACATGTTCATGCAACATGTTCATGCAACATGTTCATGCAACATGTTCATGCAATGTTCAGCAACATGTTCATGCAACATGTTCATGCAACATGTTCATACAACATGTCCATGCAACATGTTCATGCAACATGTTCATGCAACATGTTCATGCAACATGTTCATGCAACATGTTCATGCAACATGTTCATGCAACATGTTCATGCAACATGTTCATGCAACATGTTCAGGCAACATGTTCATACAACATGTTCATGCAACATGTTCATGCAACATGTTCAGGCAACATGTTCATACAACATGTTCATGCAACATGTTCATGCAACATGACAATTCAAAATATCAATGATCATTTTCTTCCATGATTCTTGAACAATTACCTCTGCTAGTTTTTTCTTCTGAGAATACAGAAAATTAATTTAAATTCAATAAATTATATTTCTCCTCTTAAAAAAACTTATTAAATGACTAAGAACATATATTTTTTTATCCTGTGAATAATCAAACTTCCCATTTTCATTAAATGTACAAAGATACTTCCATAATATATATAAAAGTATGATTTAACCTGATAGTGTTGTTCTTGATCCTGGGTCAGGTGTACCACATGTGTCTCCACGGAGGCGCCCTTCATTCCTTCCTGTGTCCCAATGGAACGCTCTTCAACCAGGAGTACTTCGTCTGTGACCTCTGGTTTAACGTGGACTGTGCCAGAGCAACATCCTTCTACGCTCTAAACCAGTACATTTATAAGGACCCTGAACCCAAGGACACTAAAACAACCTACACTTAAAAAAACAAAGCTATATATATATATATATATATATATATATATATATATATATATATATATATATATATATATATATATATATATATATATATATATATATATATACATATATATATATATATATATATATATATATTATATATATATATATATAATATATATTTATATATTTATGTAATATGTATAATATTCGTGTCATTAATCCCTGATCACTAGAAGCTTTTACTGATAATTGATTTTTTTTAATAATTCGTTTGGAGTATAATTTTAAAGGTAAAATATTACTGGTTAATTTGTGATTTATTAAGTTTTTACTTTGGTTGGGTCAGTTTTGTCCGGACACAAGACAAGTGTTGTCCGGACACAAGACAAGTGTTGTCCGGACACAAGACAAGTGTTGTCCGGACACAAGACAAGTGTTCCCTGACGCGGGTCTCAGTCCTTATATTTTTACTAATGATGACATAATTCAGTATATTATTTGGTAATATTTAAATCAATATCTGTACTGAATATATTTTATGTATTATTTGATTATCTAACTTTAAATTGAGGACAAATGTTAATAAGACTTGTCATACATAAGAAAATTCAGTTGATCGTATTATTCTTTATTCGTACAATTATATTATTCACTGTATTAAAGAATACAGAAAATTGTCTAGACTTGATAAATTAATTTCTTTAAATCATTCATGCTCTTTTTATTTTTAAATAATCATAAACAACTTAGATATATTCGGAAAATTTCCACAAGGTCACAGTGACTACTAGAATGTGACCTTAATATAAATAAGTTCAAAAAAATGTCATCTATGGAGAATACGTATTTAATAACTTTTAAACAAATCTTTTTGTCATTATTGATTTTTGAGTAAATGTGAGAGTGTTTATGGCTGGGTTTATTGTGCTCAGAAATAAACCAGAGAACACACATCAGCACGTTGGACATACTTCCTTATACCTTCTGCCCTTGTTCACCACCTAGCAGTAAGTAGGTACCTGGGTCTTAGTACACTGTTGTAGGTTCAGTCATAGGGGATAAGACTACAAGGAATAAGACAGACAGCCCAAGATGAACCACTGACTTGTCTTATCCTGGATAGATACCAATTCCCGGGGTTAAAAATCCCTGAAAAAACCTTATCACTGATGATTCAACACAACAAATCAGGGTTCTGAATACTTGTCTCTCTTGATATACACGAAGGATCTGATTTAAATCGATTTCCTAATATGGACAATTAAAATTATAACCAAAATTCGTTTAAAGATTCCCTGATTCGCTATTACGTCGCGCGAATCCTGCGTCAGCTGCGCATCTCTCGATTATGTCTGAAAACTTTCGAGAATTTTAAGTGTTTTAAAGTTATTGCATATTTTATATATAATAAAAAGACGCAATACCGTGACTGGAACAACAAACAAATAACTGGCACATAGGAGTGAGGACGTTTTGGTCTGACCAGGACCATTTACAGTCACACTGTGTGGGTTGCTTGTGTACGTTATATATCCTCTGATAGTTGTACTTACAAGTACATGTACCAAAATAATCTCACTGTGCTGGCGTTCACGTACACATGAAAAAATTAAAGAGTATCTCGCTAGATTTGAAGACGGCATTAAGTATCATAATAAAATAATAATAATAATAATAATAATAATAATAATAATAATAATAATAATAATAATAATAATAATTGTCGTATATTTCGTTAATATAGACATTTACATTAATACGTCTATAATATTTTTTTTTCAAAATTATATAAGAAACATGATATATATCATATAAACATAATACATACAACAATAGTTGATCAAATTGACATAAATATGAGATGTGGCAACCGGGCGTCTTGTAGGAGTGATGTGGCAAGCCGGGCGTCTTGTAGGAGTGATGTGGCAGCCGGGCGTCTTGTAGGAGTGATGTGGTAGCCGGGCGTCTTGTAGGAGTGATGTGGCAACCGGGCGTCTTGTAGGAGTGATGTGGTAGCCGGGCGTCTTGTAGGAGTGATGTGGTAGCCGGGCGTCTTGTAGGAGTGATGTGGCAGCCGGGCGTCTTGTAGGAGTGATGTGACAGCCGGGCGTCTTGTAGGAGTGATGTGGCAGCCGGGCGTCTTGTAGGAGTGATGTGGCAGCCGGGCGTCTTGTAGGAGTGTGTGGCAGCCGGGCGTCTTGTAGGAGTGATGTGGCAGCCGGGCGTCTTGTAGGAGTGATGTGGCAGCCGGGCGTCTTGTAGGAGTGATGTGGCAACCGGGCGTCTTGTAGGAGTGATGTGGTAGCCGGGCGTCTTGTAGGAGTGATGTGGTAGCCGGCGTCTTGTAGGAGTGATGTGGCAGCCGGGCGTCTTGTAGGAGTGATGTGGCAACCGGGCGTCTTGTAGGAGTGATGTGGCAACCGGGCGTCTTGTAGGAGTGATGTGGCAGCCGGGCGTCTTGTAGGAGTGATGTGGCAACCGGGCGTCTTGTAGGAGTGATGTGGTAGCCGGGCGTCTTGTAGGAGTGATGTGGCAGCCGGGCGTCTTGTAGGAGTGATGTGGCAGCCGGGCGTCTTGTAGGAGTGATGTGGCAGCCGGGCGTCTTGTAGGAGTGATGTGGTAGCCGGGCGTCTTGTAGGAGTGATGTGGCAGCCGGGCGTCTTGTAGGAGTGATGTGGCAGCCGGGTGTCTTGTAGGAGTGATGTGGCAGCCGGGCGTCTTGTAGGAGTGATGTGGTAGCCGGGCGTCTTGTAGGAGTGATGTGGCAGCCGGGCGTCTTGTAGGAGTGATGTGGCAGCCGGGCGTCTTGTAGGAGTGATGTGGCAGCCGGGCGTCTTGTAGGAGTGATGTGGCAGCCGGGCGTCTTGTAGGAGTGATGTGGCAGCGGGCGTCTTGTAGGAGTGATGTGGCAGCCGGGCGTCTTGTAGGAGTGATGTGGTAGCCGGGCGTCTTGTAGGAGTGATGTGGTAGCCGGGCGTCTTGTAGGAGTGATGTGGCAGTCGGGCGTCTTGTAGGAGTGATGTGGTAGCCGGGCGACTTGTAGGAGTGATGTGGTAGCCGGGCGTCTTGTAGGAGTGATGTGGCAACCGGGCGTCTTGTAGGAGTGATGTGGTAGCCGGGCGTCTTGTAGGAGTGATGTGGCAGCCGGGCGTCTTGTAGGAGTGATGTGGTAGCCGGGCGTCTTGTAGGAGTGATGTGGTAGCCGGGCGTCTTGTAGGAGGGATGTGGCAGCCGGGCGTCTTGTAGGAGGGATGTGGCAGCCGGGCGTCTTGTAGGAGTGATGTGGCAGCCGGGCGTCTTGTAGGAGTGATGTGGTAGCCGGGCGTCTTGTAGGAGTGATGTGGTAGCCGGACGTCTTGTAGGAGTGATGTGGCAGCCGGGCGTCTTGTAGGAGTGATGTGGTAGCCGGGCGTCTTGTAGGAGTGATGTGGCAGCCGGGCGTCTTGTAGGAGTGATGTGGTAGCCGGGCGTCTTGTAGAAGTGGTGTGGTAGCCGGGCGTCTTGTAGGAGTGATGTGGCAGCCGGGCGTCTTGTAGGAGTGATGTGGTAGCCGGGCGTCTTGTAGGAGTGATGTGGTAGCCGGGCGTCTTGTAGGAGTGATGTGGCAACCGGGCGTCTTGTAGGATTGATGTGGCAGCCGGGCGTCTTGTAGGAGTGATGTGGTAGCCGGGCGTCTTGTAGGAGTGATGTGGCAGCCGGGCGTCTTGTAGGAGTGATGTGGCAGCCGGGCGTCTTGTAGGAGTGATGTGGTAGCCTGGCGTCTTGTAGGAGTGATGTGGTAGCCGGGCGTCCTGTAGGAGTGATGTGGTAGCCGGGCGTCTTGTAGGAGTGATGTGGCAGCCGGGCGTCTTGTAGGAGTGATGTGGCAGCCGGGCGTCTTGTAGGAGTGATGTGGCAGCCGGGCGTCTTGTAGGAGTGATGTGGCAGCCGGGCGTCTTGTAGGAGTGAGGTGGCAGCCGGGCGTCTTGTAGGAGTGATGTGGTAGCCGGGCGTCTTGTAGGAGTGATGTGGCAGCCGGGCGTCTTGTAGGAGTGATGTGGCAGCCGGGCGTCTTGTAGGAGTGATGTGGTAGCCGGGCGTCTTTTAGGAGTGATGTGGCAGCCGGGCGTCTTGAAGGAGTGATGTGGCAGCAGGGCGTCTTGTAGGAGTGATGTGGCAGCCGGGCGTCTTGTAGGAGTGATGTGGCAGCCGGGCGTCTTGTAGGAGTGATGTGGTAGCCGGGCGTCTTTTAGGAGTGATGTGGCAGCCGGGCGTCTTGAAGGAGTGATGTGGCAGCAGGGCGTCTTGTAGGAGTGATGTGGCAGCCGGGCGTCTTGTAGGAGTGATGTGGCAGCCGGGCGTCTTGTAGGAGTGATGTGGCAGCCGGGCGTCTTGTAGGAGTGATGTGGCAGCCGGGCGTCTTGTAGGAGTGATGTGGCAGCCGGGCGTCTTGTAGGAGTGATGTGGCAGCCGGGCGTCTTGTAGGAGTGATGTGGCAGCGGGCGTCTTGTAGGAGTGATGTGGCAGCCGGGCGTCTTGTAGGAGTGATGTGGCAGCCGGGCGTCTTGTAGGAGTGATGTGGCAGCCGGGCGTCTTGTAGGAGTGATGTGGCAGCCGGGCGTCTTGTAGGAGTGATGTGGCAGCCGGGCGTCTTGTAGGAGTGATGTGGCAGCCGGGCGTCTTGTAGGAGTGATGTGGCAGCCGGGCGTCTTGTAGGAGTGATGACAAGATTTCCGTTTTCACTAGTCCAACACCAGAGGAACTGTGTAAGTTTATTCAGGTATACACACATACACTTACATAAATTATCATACATAGAAGCATAGGTATAGAGAACAGTATAGTATTATTGGGAGGTAACTGTAGAAAAGTATTCCTCTCGTATGCCTAGCGTCATTCCCTCTACAAATTGTGTTGCACAAGGATAGGAGTGTTGTTATTTATTCTACTGAACTAACGAGTAGATTGTACACATTGTAAGGTGCTTGTACATAAATAACCTGCACACAGGAGAGAGGAGCTTACGACGACGTTTCGGTCTG